GCTTCTTCCATGGCTCACTGTAAACTGACTAATACGAAACATCTTTAATAAGCTGGACTTCTTTATTTAGACATTGCAAATTTTAGAATCACATTTGACCCCTGGATAAACAAATTATATGCTTTGTAATGTCTGAAAAGACAGCTATGGAAACTTCACCCATTTACATAACTTTTAGATCTTTCTTCCTTTATTATAAGTTCTCTTTCAGATGTAAGAAACGTGGAAGTGTTTTCCAGAACATCCAACGCTTCTCTTTATTTTTGCCCTTTAATTCCTGTTTTGGTGAAGTTATATCCTCATGACTGCATAATGTTTTCCCTTTCCAGTTTCTCACAGTGATACATTTAAGAAATGGAGCAGTTTATGCAAAAAGCTAGTTTCTTTGCTGGTGAAATAAAACATTAGGGCATTTATTAGAATTGGAAGGATCTCACCTATCTTTTCTTAATATAGTTTTCTTACAGCTGCAGCAAAATCTCTGAAAATGACTGCAGTCTGTTCCCAAAGCATTATTTTTATCACATGCTGTTGTAGTAGAATACAACCCCTAGGGGTTGCTCCTGAGTTACCCACAGGTGCCTCAATAAGCACTTTCTTCTTCCAATTCAGAAGGTCTTTATAATATAAGGGAAGGGGGGGGGGGAATCATCTTTGCCATAAAAGCTCTTTGAACCTTTGACAGGGAAAAAAAATCAGTGCAGAGGAAGAGACATCTAGGGTACAATCTTGTGTCTGCTATTGAACCTCTTGGGAATCGCATTTGAATAATTATATAGAGAATAACATTGTAGGGAGAGCAGAAGACAGAAACAGTAGTAACATCTAACACCTGCCTCATTGGATTTTTCTGTCCCAAGGCACAATCTCAAGCATTTGATGCAGCAGCCATCCTGGTTTTAAAACAGGTCTGACTCTCAGACTTCCCTGGTTGGCCCATTGCCTAAGAATGCCACATCTTCTACCTTGAGTTCCATGATAGCAGAAAGGTAGTGTTTATATCTGAGAGCTAGAAATAAAAATGCCTTTTTAAAAAATGAGTTTGAAAGCAAGAGTTTTCTGGCTTTTGTAATTCCAGTGGAAAGCTTGCAAGAAAGCACCAAAACATGGGAAGGGTACCAAAACGTGAAAGCAATGAATGGGCAGATCTATTGAAGTTCAACTGCTATCCTGCATTATCAAGTGTATTTAGAAATCTCACACATAAATTTTAAAATATTTAAATTTGAAAGGATATGAAGGGGTATGTGTAAATATGCCAGTATTTCTCTTAATTGATTCAACAGCCTAAGCTAGGATATCACATCATAATCAATGATAGGTGAAATAAGAAAGATCTAACTAATACCATTACATTGGATCAGTCTAAGATCATTACAACCCAGGTTTTGTAATCAGCTTTTTAAAACAATTATTTTATTGGTTGCCAGTATACAAAGAACAATACAGGTGGTCCTCGACGTGGGACCATTCATTTAGCAGCTATTTGAAGTTTAAGCAGGCTCTGAAAAAAATGACTTTTGGTTCACACTTAGGACCATGGTAGCATCCCTGCAGTCATGTAACAACAATCTGGGCACTTGGCAGCCAGCTCACATTTACGTCCATTGCAGTGTCCTGTGGACGCTGGATCACCATTTGCCACTTTCCTAGCTGGTTTCTGACAAAGCCAATGGGAGATGCCAGATTTGCTTAATAACTGCAGCAAAAAAATATCATAAAATCAGGTGTGGTAACAATACCGCTTAGTAACAGAAATTCCAATCCCAGTTGTCATAAATTGAAGATTACCTGTAGATAATTTTTGAAGACAGCAAGAAAAAAATAGCTGCTGCTGATTTTTTAGAACTCTTACTAGTGTTCCTGATTTTGTCTTTAAAGAAGAATACAAATGTACTGCTGTTACAGTATAGTTCCATTACCAAAACCGGAGTCAAGCAACAGATGTTGGTGAGTCTGCCTCTTCCATCTTTGGTTGAGATGGCTCTTCTTTCATTTCTCCATCTCTGACATTCAGCTGTAGCTTTTGCACAAAAGAATATTGTCACTTATTTTCCACTCAATTTCTCCCAAGATTTCTGTCAAGTCTCCCATTTTATCCTGCTTTAGTGGCCAAAGACTAACATTTTCAAAGTGAGCAACATAAACCTAGAACAATTAAGAGGTCTTTATGCATACTATAGACCACTGAGAGACCACCGGTATTTTCCATCTTTCACAAATTGTATTACCTAGAAACAAAGAAACTCTTCTTCTTCTGGAGTGGGGAAAGATATGGAGCCATTACAAATGTAGATTAGTATACAGTACACTTTTGTTTCTTTGTCTTGCACAAATGGACTTCTTTATCCTACTCATCATGCATGTCACAATTTCCAGCCACAGATGTTGAGATCCTCTTTACCAGTGTTTCTCAACCGTATCAACTTTACAGTATGTAGACTTTAGTTCTCAGAATTCCCTAGCCAGATTGAGACTTCAGGTCCTAGAATTCCCTAGCCAGCTTGAGAACTACTGCTCTTTACTGCCCAGGTACTTAAAGAATTTCAGTTCCTATAGTCCGCCATTCTTTAAATCTCCAAGGTTGGAAAGTTTTGAAGGTCCATTTTCTTGCCTAAAAACTATTTTCATACTGTCTATCTACTATGTGAGAATCTTAACCCAACATTTATTTATTCATCCAATTTCTATTGTGCTGCCATCATAAAAAGACTTTTATCAGTAGCTTACAAAAACAAACACGACAATCTAAATAAAACTGTGTAAATCTTCAAACAATACAATATCTGGCCTCAAAAGCCCACTAGAGCTTTTCAACCTTTTCACCCATTGTACCACTTTTAGGATATGGCAATATTCGAGTACCACCAATCGCCTAGCAAGGTAGCAAAAACTTGATGACCCGCCCCAAAAGAAAAAAAGTGATGAAGTAAAGGTAGTCCTCAACTTACAACAGTTCACTTAATGACTGTTCAAAGTTACAATGGCACTGAAAAAAGACCCCCCCCCAAGCCACAGACGAGCAAGACACTTGCCTGCCCACCCAGTGGCGCTCTTCCTCCTGTCTGAAGTTTTCATTGTTGTGAGCATTTCTGTTGAGGATTGGCAGTGGGAGTGGGGTGGGGGGGTGTATGGTTTTTATTCCCCCTGCCTGCTGGGTGCTTGCAGCAGGTTTTGGTCACTTCACATGACCCTGGGACACTGTGACCGTCATAAATATGAATCAGTTGCCAAGCATCTGAATGTAAAGTACATGACCCTGTAGATGCTGCAACATTCCAGCTGATTGGTGCTTCTGGGTTCAGCAGAAGTGCCAGGATCAGTGCTGCTTTCCAGCTGGAGCCTGACGCTGATCCTGGCGCTTCCGCTGAGCCCTGACAGCCCTGCAGCTCCAGCCATCTCTCGCTCAGGCTTGTGCAGTGCTGCCACTGGTTCAGCTCATTCCCCTCCCCCGCTACCACTTTTCTAGGATGGTCGCGTACCACTTGCCAGGTGCCAGTGTAGCACAGGTGGTACCCGTACCACTGGTTGAAAAGCCTTGCTCTAGAAAAGCTCTTGTTTTCAACTTTTTCCAGAGGGCAGCTTATGTTGGAGATAACTAACATCTCCAACCAAATCCCATTCCAGAAGGCCAGGCTCATCATAGAAAAATTGTGTTTTGGATTTTATTTTATTTTTTAAGTGTGTTTCTGGCACAAAGTGATCAGAGGTAATCCTGGTGGGGAAAGATGGTCCTCTCGGTAACCTGGCAGAAAGCCATGGATGGATTTATAGATTAAAACCAGCACTTTAAGTTGTACCTGAAATGTGGTGTACGCTGCAGTAATCTAACCAGGCGATGGTGACAGTATGAGCCACTCTAGTCAGGTCCTCCCGTCCCAAGTAAGGTTGCAATTAGCATGGAAGCCAAAGCTGGGGAAAAGCCCTCTCACCACAATATCTGACTGTTGATCCAGCAAGAGTCACAAATCCAGGAAGACCACCAAGTCACAAACCTGCTCCTTCAGAGGCAGCTCAACTCATCCAGAGACAAACCAAGGGACATAGAGGATATGGATAGTGGGGTGGGCAGCATATACATTCATTCATTCATTCATTCATTCATTCATTCATTCATTCAATAAATCCCAACATACAAACAGCAGCTGTGTCTTGCTAGAGTTCAATTTAAGCTTGTTCTGTCCCATCTAGATCCTCAAAATCTCCAAGACACTGGGACAAGACTTAGATAATATTTCCAACCTGGGGTTACAATGTACAGTTGAGTATCATCAAAAATATTGTTGATATGAGAGCCTGAATCACTAGATGAGCTCCTGTAGCAACTTCATGCAGATGCTGAAGAATCCATATCTTTCTGATGATGGGTGCCTAGTTCACTGGAGGCTTTGCCTCTAGTATTGGTCACTATAAATAAATGAAACATACGGACCAAAATAATACGCTTTAAAAGCAGCATGCGTGGCTTTGTCAGTAACTTCATCTAAGGAGAAGGTCCTCCCTCCTGTTGATGTGGCTTTTAGTCCCACTCTGCAGTATATGTGAAATAAAAATAAATTGGACTCTCCTGAGGGAGGATTTTTTTTTTCCATTTAGGTTTTTTTTTAGTTTAGTTATAGTGCACATTATGCTTTCAAATGTTGTAAATTGTTTTCAAGTTAAGTATACTCAGTTATTCCGTCACTGTGAATTCTTGAAAATGTAGCATTTCAACACAGCTGATAAAATGATTCTATTCAGTTCAGAGTGGTGGGATGCTTTATTATTTAAAAAAATTTTTTTTAGGATTCATGACTTACTACATACAAACTACTTCATGAGATTCCATTTAAAACCAATGGATGAAATTTCTTCCACTTTTTTTGCTTGCCAGGAAGCAAGTTCATGTTTAAGAGATTAATCAGTTCTTGCAAAAAGCTCCTTTGATAGGACACATGCTGTTTCTCAGTTGCTATTCTAAAGGTGAACTCCAGATGATTCCCTGTGACTGGTCTCCCTACCCTTCTACCTCTAATTTGAAACTGAATTCCAGGGCCTGCCTTAAATTTCGGCCACTTTGGTGCAGCCAGGCAGCAACCATCACAACAGGAATCCTTCTAGATGCTTTCTTGCCAGTAGTATCACTGCCAAAGCTAGCTTTATGCTTTGCCTTTTTTTCTTTAGATTGTTCCCAGGGAAGCAACTGAACAATGCAAGGATTTCCTCTGACCAGCATAACCCGCCTGCAAACTGTTGATTTCCTTATTTTTCATTTCAGCCCCCTGGATTCAGTCCAGCAACCACTGCCCATCCCAGAGAGTGAACAGGAGGAACTCTGTGGTTGCTTCAAATTGTGGGGTTGCAGCAAGGCTGTGGATCTTATTTTTTAGCTCACCTCAGTTGCTACCCAATCAAAGGGGAAGGCTTGGTGTGAGAAACCTCCTATCTAGGTGGCTGTGCATTTCTGGGATAAATCTGTTTCTACGGTTTCAATCTGTCGAGCATTTGATCTGCATTGATACCCTTATGCTTCATGCATTAGATAGTCATAGTAGCAGTGTGGGGATAGGCAGCTTGGAGACGTTTTATTCTAGAAAAGAGACTGTTTTATTGCAAAATGTGTTGAGTATTCCTGTTCTGATATTGCACTGTACAGTGAAGAGTGCAACAAGCTGGCTTCTGGGAAACTTTTGATGCTGCTCACTTGTGCTACAAATTAAATTCTATGGATTTTCTGAGAAGCAAATAAGCAAAATGCTAAATTTCTGAAGTGTAACTAACTAGAAAGGAGGAGGCATTTTCCAGAATTTACTCATGGATTAAAATTAAGATATTGGATCCTGAATTGTGATTGGACCATCCTTAATGGGAATACTTACGAAAATATTTTGAATGAACCAGACGTGAGAGATACCAATTCTGTGACATTCAAGGCTGCAACTACAATCCTTGTTATTAATATCAACTGCTGGCAAGCAAGTTTTCTTGCTCATGAATCCCTGCCAGGCTTCTTCTGTTGGACATTTTGGGAATCTTAAGTTCTTCACCATTGGACTGAGAACAAAAGGAACAGTCTATTTGGTAGGACACACATTTACTTACTTCTTGCTTTTTGGAGTGAGGCTTACTTTCTACCCACATGGTTATTTTGTGATTGAACTAAATATTCTTGTATATTTTAACATTGATTCCTTCTTGTTTCACAAACTTAAAAGTATCCGTTTTTAAATGTATATCTTTAACCTTTAAAAAGCTCACTTTGGAAATGTTGTGTAAATAGCTTTTAGCCAGAATGTGCCTACCAAAGGGATTAATCTATACATTTCTAGATTTCTCAACAAGTTATTGACGATGTTGGATGGAAACTGTAGTCCAGTGCACTTGGAGGGAATCATATTGGAGAAATTTGCTGTAGATAAAGCAGACTGGAAGATGGGGAAAGAATACAAAAAAATTACCCCACTCAAAAGGACTCATTTACAGAGAAGGAGCTATGTTTTTGTATGGAGGGCTGAAATCTGATACAGCTGTTCCCACATGTTCCAGAAACAGTTACGTGCTTGCAGGATCCAACCTGGGTCAGTCACCGGGACTAGAGGTTTAGTTTTCCAAGCTTTTGGACTCGTCCTGGAGCCCATCCCTGGGGAACTTGTCTTTAACAGAATGTCTAACATAAATAAGTTCCCCAAGGATGGGCTCCAGGACAAGTCCGGAAGCTCAGGAAACTAAACCTTGGTCCCAGTGACCTACCCAGATTGGATCTTATAACATTATCCTGGGACACATATATTTGCCTTCATTCGTGAGTTGTACACTTTTTTCTCTAAGACGTTACGTTCTTGGTATCTGCTTAATAGGATGTAATATTTCATGTGCATGCATGTGATGAAGTTAAGACTTGGGTGACATTGTGCAGTAATGAAGAGATTGAGGTACCTGTATGAGGATTACACATAAATAACCAACTTCCATACTTGCTGCATTCTTTGTAAAAGACTAAATTGTCTGCTTCCCAGCTAACAAATACCACAAGTCCAGTAAAATTTTGTTCAAGGCTCTAGAAATCCCTTGGTCTATGTTCCTATAATTCCTTTTAATCCCTTATAGCCAACTTCTTCATTTTACATAAGAAGCAGTTGCTTAAGCGCAGCAGAGTAGTTATAGTGGACAAAAAGACATGATAGTATTGAACTGGACTCAGTTAACATAACATTCAGTTAAAAATAAAACTGAAAATATTTATCAAACCCTCCAAAGGCTTGTATTTTTTTTAAATAGAGAATCCTATTTTCTTCATCTCCTTTCATTTCAATGAAGATAGCACAGAAATTAATACAAAAAACAATTCTGGTAAACTGAGTAGATGGGAATTTTATTAGTTGAATGGAAGTGTGTGCCCATTGCAATATAAATGTGGGGTGTACGAGTACAAGACTGAAACATGAGTTGCTGTATAAGAGAGAAAATGTACTCTCATTAAAGTAGCAATTAATGGAGAATATTTTAGTAGTCAAAAATTAGGAGCAAATCTGCTATGACTTTTGTGTCTATGGAAAGTAGGTCTAGCTTTATCAAAACTCCTGGATTTTCATAGAAAGAATAAAGAACAAACATACTTTGAGCTAGAGCTAGAAAAGTGGGGAATGTAGAGATAAGTAAAGCTGTTATTAGTACTTCAGTGTCCTAACAATTACTAGTTGAATGCTGTCACATAAATAGCAAAAGCCCAATTTGAACAAGAGAAGTCTATTTTACCTTCTGTATCACTGCAAGATCTGTCACCATTTGGCATTGATGGCCTTCCCGCTAGACGTCTCTCATTGATTATCTTGTTTCAGATCTCTTATTTCTGTGAATAGGAGCCAGTGCTTACAGATTCCTTTTGAAAAGGCTTTGTCAAGGTTGCATGTGGCCTTGAACCCACTTCTTCACATGAGAGTATAATTTTCGTATATTTATACCCTTCTAGCAAGGATCTCAGGATTTGCTTTACCACAGCAAGATGGTGGCATCAGATATCACTGAATTACAATCTTATAAATAAGAATAAATTACCTTATTTATACCCAGCTGGTTCAGTTAATATTTGTTTCCCGCTTTAGGAGAACAGAACAGTGACGTCCAGCCTCATCCACGGCCGCCATGCCGTCTAATGCCCGGGCTGGCAGTTTGAAGGACCCTGAAGTGGCTGAGCTGTTCTTCAAGGATGACCCTGAAAAGCTCTTTGTTGACCTGCGGGAGATTGGTCATGGCAGTTTTGGAGCTGTCTACTTTGTAAGTGCCAAAGGAGTGATAATGCTCATGCTCAAATCTTGCTAAGATCATTTAACACAACTGTTTCCCGTTGGTCTTGCTTATAGCTGAATCAGTTCTGCTTCTGGGTCCCATCCCATCAGGAGACCCCCTGCTACTGAATGTTAAATGTTGAAGAGCAATAGTGACAGGGACTTTCTCCACATCTTGCTAATGGTTTTCTCAGTGGGAATCTGATTGGTCATGATCAGAAGTGGGAAGATGAACTGGTCTGATTTAGTAGAGATGTTATAACTTTAAGTGGATATCGGGTACTCGCCAATCCCATGTATCTCTGGCCTCATAGGCAGCTCTGCTATAAGAATGCCTGATTCACCGTGAGATGTAAAATTTACTCCTTTTGATTGGTATTTTTTTCCCAGGCATAGGAACAAAGTTTCTCTCTGAACTTGACTGTCTGTGGGTGCTGATAGTTATTTTCACCATCTTCTTTGGTTTATTCTCTTTATCTTCCCCAGGCCAGAGACATACGCAACAATGAGGTGGTGGCTATTAAGAAGATGTCCTACAGTGGAAAGCAGTCTAATGAGGTTGGTCCTTTTTAGACTCTTAACACAGTTGTGTTGACCATTAACTTCTAGCCTCTCCCTGGCCTAGGTAATCCAGTTCTCCTGATTTTCAAATTTTCTAGGCTTCTTGTAATATTCCCTCCTTTACTCGAAATATAGAAGTATATTGGAGCTCAGGCTCACTTTTGTATTTTCCAGAAATGGCAGGACATTATCAAGGAGGTGAAATTTTTGCAAAAGCTACGACACCCAAACACAATTGAATACAAGGGCTGCTACTTACGGGAACATACAGCATGGGTAAGATGAGAGTGAAACAGGTCATTCTGAGCCATTGTGGTGATACATTACAGAAAGCCTTTTAAAGAATTTAAGAAATGCAGTGAAAATGCAGATGAACTGGGCTTTGGGTGAGGGGGGAGTCTTGAAAAGAGCCTGAATGATGACTGGGTTTCTTGCTTCTCTGCCTGAAACAGTGCAGTTTAAGGGAAGGAATTGCAATGCAATAGAGTGGTGGCTCCTTTCTTGAAAACTGGACAGTTTTTTTTTAGTGGTATTCTGTTTATCTTCATGGGGTTTTTGGAAGTGCCTGGATGACAATTGATGCAAAAATGGTGGACTTTTGGTCTGATTTAGGGGGGGCTGTTCTTATATTCTTAAGTGAATTGGAAATGCCAGGTACAAAATGGAATTGGCGTACTAGGTTCCCGGAGCCCTGATTGGGACAGGATGTTTGAAGTTCAAAGGATTTATTTGCCCTATGCTAACATTTCCTCTTAATTCATTAGCTGGTGATGGAATACTGCCTAGGCTCAGCCTCAGATTTGCTGGAAGGTGAGTCCCAATACCAATTGAAGAGTCTTCCCACAAAGCTTTTCTGAGACCTTTAAATAATGTTCTTTCCTCCATCCCTTCTTTCCTAGTGCACAAGAAGCCACTGCAGGAAGTAGAGATTGCAGCCATAACACATGGTGCTCTGCAGGGACTTGCCTACCTGCATTCACACAATATGATCCACAGGTGAGCTCTACATTATATGACTGCACTCTCTTAGAGACGTTGCTGCTTGTAACACCCATTTAGTGTAGGATAATATGATCTAGTTCAGGGGTAGGCAACCTCGGCTCTTTTATACTCAGGAATTCTGGGAGTTAAAGTCCATGAGTCTTAAAAGAACCGAGGTTGCCTACCCCTGATCTAGTTGTTGCTGCATTGTGAAATCTGTACCGGAATCTGTTACTCTGTTTTTCAGTCAACTCCATGCATCGTTCCAACCCAACCCTGTTTCTTGCTACATTTTACCGTTTATTCTATAGATTATTTGCAGGCAGAATGGCAAAATTACCAATTCATGCTTCAGTCAAATTTTGCACTTTATGCAGTTTAGCTCAATTATCAGAACTGGACAGTTTTCAAATTTCTCAAATCAGCTTTATATTTTAATAAATCCTCGATATCCCAAACAACTTAAAGGAAAGACATATAGATAAAACATGTTGCTTTCTATCAGACTTTGCATATAGGTAGTCCACGTTTAGCGACTGCCTCTTTTAACAACTGTTGGAAGTTACCACATTGGGGAAAAAATAACTGCCAATCCTCACATTTAACAACCTTCACAGGTCGGTAAAGCAAACAAAACCTGAAGTCTGATAATGAATGCAGTCACAGTTTCACTTAGTAACCCCTTTGATTAATGACCACTAAAAAAAAAGACTACCTGTATATTTTTCAACTCAAGAACTGTGCTATACACATTCTTTTTCTTCTAAAAAAAAAAAAATCTTAATTACCTCAGGAGTCAGTCATTTTGGTAGCCTAATTTAAATAGAGCAGAAATCTTTCACTTGTTGCTATTAAATTATTGACAGAAGCCATTACCAATATAGAAGTTTGCTAATGTAGCCCTCTCTCTTTCTCCTGGTCCTCCTTGTCCATATAAATGTTGCTCTAACCTTCGTCTTCCTGCTTTCTCCTGCCGCTCACACTGTTTTTCATCTTGCTGCCCATTTTCCTCCACTGTGTTCTCTGCATCTCTATTCAGTTTTTAATTACTGTGCTTGTCTTTTCAGGGATGTGAAAGCTGGGAATATCCTTCTGACTGAACCAGGACAAGTGAAGCTGGGGGACTTTGGCTCAGCTTCTATAATTGCTCCTGCTAACTCCTTTGTTGGCACCCCATATTGGTAAGCTGGCAGAATGAGATTTTTGTTTAAAATGAAACAGAGCAGGAATGCCTTTATTGGCCATATCCCCATATCCTAGCCACTGGGAGGAGTGAAGATGTGGCTGAAGAGACAGTGAGGGAGTAGATATGCATTGGAGACTCCCTGGTTCTTTGAACAAGAAGAAATTACAGAAATTGATAATTAGAAATGTGGGTTCCCTGGGGTTTTGCAAAGAATCCCAGTGTAGTTTAACAACAGTTGATTGTAAAAAAAGTTATGAAGTCTCCTTTTGTAGGTCAAAGATTGGAGGGTGTAATTCAGGAGTGTTCCAGTTTTGGGAGGCGCCATATGTGAACTTTAAATGGCATGCTTTGGAGCCTCATTTCAAGAAGTAATGGGGTCTAAGAAAATGAAATAAATTATATATTTGTATTAATAATACACATTAATGTGTTTAATAATTTCCCTTCTTTGATTAATAGCAACATTGACAACTTGGCAGTACTTTGTGGTCTGTGTCCAGGGACGTGCATCTTTGGTGCAATAATCTTTCAGGCTCTTAAGTAACCACGTGTGCCGTTGCTAAGTCACAATGTACGATTGTTTTATCTTGTGATTTCTTTCTAGGATGGCTCCCGAGGTGATTCTAGCCATGGATGAGGGGCAGTATGATGGCAAGGTGGATGTCTGGTCACTTGGCATCACTTGCATTGAACTTGGTATGAAATGAGCCTACTTGCCTTATCGGGTTGGAGTTATGGGGGGGGGAGTGATGTAGAAGAGGACTTTCTGCAAGAACACAAGTGCTGGTGCTAACATTAGCTGTCCTTGTGTCTTCAGCGGAGCGCAAACCACCCCTCTTTAACATGAATGCTATGAGTGCCTTATACCACATCGCCCAGAATGATTCACCACTGCTGCAATCTAGTCACTGGTAAGAAAAACTCCACAAATGGCTTTAAGCTTGCAAAAAAAGAGAGGTTTATAGATTGAAATGAATCCCTGACTTTCTTCCCTGTTTTTTTTTTCAGGTCTGAATATTTCCGAAATTTTGTGGATTCATGCCTACAGAAGATCCCCCAGGACCGTCCAACCTCTGATGTGCTGCTTAAGGTATCTGTTTTCAACTCCTGAAAGATTCCTTTTTTCCCCATCCCCAGCGTACAATGCCTATAGCTGTGGAAGTTGTATTCATTTTATCCTATCTGGTACAATAACAAGAAGTTAAAGATAAGAACACTAGATATTTAAATTAGAAAAGTGTGTTCAAGGAAAGCTAGCATTGGGAAATGGTAATCCATGAAAAATGTTGGTACAGATGTTTCTGGGGAAACACCCTAATAAATAACACACTTCACCATTTATTCCCCACAGACCCTTGATAAATACTGAGTCTTTACATTGGATTCATAGAATTGTACAATTGTGTGTTGGAAGTGTACACCTAGCATTGATTTTGGTTGATTTTTTTCCTTATTAAGTTGTTGATAAGCAATGAATTATTCTGTCTTCCAAAGTATTTGAGTTTCTCTCATTCTTTGTTCCTAAGTGGACTTGAGTAACCATTACATGCTAAATCTAGGTTTACTCAAGTTAAATAGAGAGTAATTATACATTGTTGTTAAAAGAATATAGTTATTAGGTCCTAAAAAATCTCAGTAGTTGTTATCCCAACCCTGTGAATGTACTTAATAGTGAGAAAGGATTGGTCAGATCACAAATTCTAAGAGATCGTTGGATAGCTTCGGGGACCTTTTGCAGACCTACTTCCGTGGTTTCATGCTATTACTTCCTGTGACTCCACAGCATCGCTTTCTCTTGAGGGAGCGACCCCAGACGGTTATCATGGACCTGATTCAGAGGACCAAGGACGCAGTGAGGGAGCTTGACAATCTGCAGTACCGCAAGATGAAGAAAATCCTCTTCCAGGAGGCTCAGAATGGTCCAAACGCAGAGGCACCAGAAGAGGAAGAGGTTAGGATTTCACTTTTGGTTTCTGTTGTTGTCGCCCCACATTTCCTAATGCAGTTCTCCCTGGCTTTCTTGAACTTCAGCTCATATAATTCTCTCACCATCATGAGAGTAACAGTGCAGGAGGCTTCCTTATTCCAAGACCATTCCCTACACCAGGGGTGTTCAGACATGGCCCTTTTATGACTTATGGACTTCAACTCTCAGAATTCCTCAGTCAGGCACACTGGGAGTTGAAGTCCACAAGTCATAAAAGAAGACCCCTGCCCTACACACACACATATACTTTGTCTGTCTGTCTGTCTCCCTCCTTCCCTCCCTCCCTCCCTCTCAGAAGCAGTTGTTTGCAGTATCACTTGTCTCGTTCTCATTTAATCCTTCTTTTATGTTTCAGGAAGTAGAGCAGTTTCTTCACCGGACAGGAACCATCAATAGCATGGAGAGCAGCCACTCGGTACCCAGTATGTCCATTAGTGCCAGCAGTCAGAGCAGCAGCGTTAACAGCCTGGCTGACGCCTCAGATGATGATGACGGGGCTGAGATTGCCATGATGCAGGAAGGCGAGCACACCGTCACCTCCAATAGCTCCGTCATTCACCGTCTGCCGGTATAGAACTCAGTGTGCTTCTGCAAGAGCAGTCAAATGTCAATTTCAGAATAAAGCGAAGGTTGGGAAACATTGTGGAATATTTTCTAGCATGTGATAGAAAATGTAAGCCTCCCTGCAAATCGGCCATAAAGATATGGGTATCCTGAGATAATAAAGGGAAAAGCTCAGTTTTGAATTTGGAGTATCCTTCACCTCGTTGTGATGAAACAAAAAACAACACCAGAATTGATAGAGAAAATAGAAGTCCAGAGGGGGATGGGAGGAAGAGAGAGAAGCATGCTGATGATCACAGGACTGGAATCCAGTCGATCATTACATCCTACTTGCTTCCTTATGTTGAGTGACTTAGACTTGGGTGGGAACACTTTCCCTTTGTTTTTTGGGGGGGAAATCAGTTTTTTTTTCTAGACTAGTGTTCCCTAGCTGTCCACATTTCTTGGGATTGCAGCTAAATTTCTACATACTTTGGAAACAGCAGTTGGAGGAAACCCGAATGCCTAGTCTGTTCATCTTTAATCTGGGCTGCCCACGTGATCTTGCTTTATGCTTAAAACTAGAAACATGACTGAATTTGAAGCCTCAACCTAGGTTTCCTCAACATGGCACAGATGTTCATCTGATACAACCTCCAGTTGCTTAGTATTCTAGGAATTACTGCCACAATAAATTGGATGGCATTAAGTTTGGAAGATTGCCTTAGACACTATATTACTTTAAACTTCCAAAATCTTGGAACTCCTTCTGTAGTACTCTCTATAACAGTTTGTGATCCTGCTCCATTCTATCTTCACACTTCCATTTCCTAAAACTGGCTAATCCTAAATTATTCATAGAAGTTCTGTTTGATCTCCCGGCTCTATATTCTGTATGTGCCTTTTAAAGGAAAATTTGCAGAGGCAATGTTAGAAGCTAAGACCTATAGCTTCTTACGTGCTTTTTGATGCTTTTCAGGGCCATGACAATCTGTACGATGATCCCTACCAGCCGGAAATGGAGCCCCAGAGCTCATCGTCAGCCGCCCGACGTCGTGCCTACTGCCGTAACCGAGATCACTTTGCCACCATTCGTACAGCTTCTCTGGTGAGGGGAGAAACTTGCTTATATTTTATTATAGTATTAGATTCATATCCTGCCTTCAAATTTTGTACAACTCAAAGCAGTGTGTAGAAGGGTCACGCCTTCTATTTTTCCCTCAACAACTACCCTGTGAGATGGGTTGTCTGATTAAGAGTGTGGCCAAAGTCATTGGCTGCTTTTCATGCCTAAAGGAGGATTAGAACTCACAGTTTTCTTGTTTCTGGTCCAGCACCTTCACCCCTACACAAAACTTGATCTCAGTTGGATGCGGTCCTTTCATTTTTGTTTTCCCAGCTTTCTTCCTTTCTGGTGACTTCATAAATTATTGGTGGTGCTGCCTACAAAACCTTCTTCTTTCTTTCTCTTAATGTATTAGTCAGTAAAGTTTCAATGTCTGGCATCTGGAGCCCTCTGTTGCAGTGCAGTTGTTAAGGAAGAAGCAGAGAAAATTAGGACAGAAAAAAATCTACCTGAAATGCCGTAGTTCTGCCTGTTTAAAAAAAAAGTATATTCATGGTGAGCAAGATGGCTTTGGAAACTCTGATTATTTTTAACATTATTTAGGAGCCAATCAAGCAAAATAGTTTAAAGTTTCGGTAAGACCGGAACAGTGGATAAGTGCCAGAAATCTACACTTTTGTATTGAGAACATTTTTTTCAACAATTTTCTAAAAGAGGTCAGCAATATTTATTTAAAATGTGAATGTTTCTGTTTCTTAAGACAGCTGCTTCATTAAATCTCATGCAATTAAAGAAATTCTGAATCGTTAATAATTTGATTATTTCATTATTTAATTTAGAACACAACTTTTGTGGGGGTGGCAGACTTTCAGAAGGTAGATGTGATATTTAATATTTGGATGATGATAGTAGTAAGGATTGCAGAAGGAAAGGCAAGGATGCAAAGTGAGTAGAACCATACTAGATGGACAGAGCTGGGGCTTTAGTGAGGGCATGTTTGGGAGATTCAATATTTTTCTTGGTTTTTCTGTGCTGAATCCTTTCAGAACTGAATTCAGTTTTCATATGGTTTCTATGTCAAAAGAGCAAAACCAGCATTCCCAATTTCCATAATTATTATGCCAAAATAAGAATCATGTTAATGCAGTAGAAGAGTGTTCCTCTTCTATATATGCGTCCTGTTTTACTCCTTTATTTGTTGATCTAAGCCAGCGGTTCTCAACCTGTGGGTCGGGACCCCATTTGGGGTCGAGCGACCATTTCACGGGGGTCGCCAAACAACGCAGTCCGCCATTTTTTTCCCCTTTTCCTTAGCTATGCTACTCCCTTTTATTCTACTGGCTTTTGAAAGCCAATAGAATAGACTCTCTTGAATAGAGTCTAATTCTATTGGCTTTCAAAAGCCAATAGGAATTGTCCAGGCTGTCTCTGCCCTGCTGAGCCCACCAAAAGTCCCATTCTGCAAACGGCGCTGCACCAGTTGAGTAGTTCTCGACTTACGACCGGTTGAGTAGTCCTCGACTTACGACCGGTTGAGTAGTCCTCGACTTACGACCGGTTGGGGGGTCGCGGCATTAAAAAGGTTGAGAACCACTGATCTAAGCTGAGTCATCTTGAATGAAAAACTGTTAGGTTTTTACCATCAAGGGCAAGGGTGTCAAACTCAATTTCATTGAGGGCCGCATCAGCATTGCAGTCGCCCTCAGGGCGCCGGGTGGGTGCGGCCAGGGTGAGTGCGGCCTACTGGGTGGGTGTGGATGGAGTGGGTGTGGCCTACTGGGTGGGTGTGGCCAGCTCTACATCATTCGTGTCAAGGGTGCCTGTGGGGGCCTGGGCAGGAGTGGGACAGATCTGAGGGTCTCTCGCAGAAGAGGGTGGGACCGGGGCAAGTACCAAGGCATGGTCCACTGGAGGAGCCTCAATGTTACTCTCAGGCCATGCGGGGGGAGGGGGACTTATGGAGCTAAGACTGAATACGTTTCAGCATAGATGGCCACCACAAAATTGTACATTGGCTCCCAGCTAGCCTGGGCAGCGGGGGCCGTTCCTCACTGTTTCCAGGATGGCTTCGCGGGCCACATGCAACCATTTCGCGGCCCGGGCCTTGTGTTTGACATGTCTGATCAAGGGGAAGTTCTGTGCACTAGTGGCGTACTATAGTTGGATCTGAAGTGCACAAGGATACATAAGATCCAGTGTGAACACTCTTTTTCTACTTTTTGGAGGCTCCTTCAACAAGCCATGCCTTTTTTTGGTCTTGCACTGTGCCATTGGTAGTGAGAAACTGCCTTCTGTTGCCCTGTCTCCCATCACCCTAACCTCTCCTTCACTAGAATTTTTCCTGAGCACCTTCAGGCACCATTCAAATCCAGGAAAAGGTAAGATTCAGTGAGGGATCAGCCAATGGGAAGTGAGAAGACGTATGTACCAGATCAGAAGATCCTTGCCTGCTTTGGATCTAAATGTGCACAACACTTCAGTGTATTGTTCCTCTTACCCCACGGCAGGATTTGTCCAGTAATAAACCCATAAATGGTGTTGTTTATATTTCACAATTTTGGATTAAATTAGACTTTCTTGTTTCTCTCTTCCTCCTTTCTTCTGTTCCTTCCTTTCAGGTGACTCGCCAAATCCAGGAGCATGAGCAAGACTCAGCACTGCGGGATCAGATGAGTGGCTACAAACGGATGCGGCGTCAACATCAGAAACAGTTGCTGGCTTTGGAGAACAAACTGCGGGCTGAACTGGATGAGCACCAGCTGCGTCTCGACAAAGAGCTTGAGGCCCACCGCAACAACTTTTCAGCTGAAGCTGAAAAACTGGCCAAGAAGCATCAGGCTATTTTTGAGAAAGAGGTGAGGATGGGAGACTTGGATAGGGAGATGGAAGATCACTTGGCCAAAGGAATAGAAACTACAAAAAATTCCTAGGAGAGTGGGAAGGTGGGAAACTTTGGCCTCCAGAACAGGTTGCAGTGGGAACCTCATGTCAGGTTAATGCAAAAATTAAGCCTCTTTTAGTATGGTAGGCACTAAAACAGCTTTCGAAGGAAGGAAGGAAGGATACTAATTTTGTGACATTTCAGCATTCTTGCCTGAAATACTGCGGTCTCTTGAGAGAAGATTGAAATTTTGCAAATGAATAGTAATCTCATAAAACCTCAGTATTTTTACCATCCATTAAGCTGATCACCACCTTCAGGGGTGTCACCAAAGTACTGGCAACTGTTGTAGGTGGCACATTTTTAATCCTTGGTGAAAGACTATCTCCAAATTGAAATAATTATTTCCCCTATTTCCTTTTGATTACTCCTTCTCATACAAAATTATACACAACTCTTGTGAGATTAAATAAAGTGTTGCAGGTTTGCTTGGGAAGAGCTTTCTTGATTAACTCATACTGTTCTGATTGTTCCCATTCCTTCTGGCCACATCAGCAGTAATCTAGTCATTTTGGTAGACCAGTATTAACTTGCCATCGAAACCAAGGAGATCAATTATTCCAAACAGAAATAGGTTCTATCATATCAAACCCATATGCTCTTGGATCTGACCTATTCTTTAAAACTAAAACATCTCCCCCCCCCAAGGAACTGAATAATTTAGACAAGGGTGTTTACAAACCAATTCTGCTGGTTGTCAAGAAATAAGTTGTTATGCCTTGTACCAATTGTACAATTATTTTATAATAATTTTATTAGCAGTTACAATTAGAGATTAAAAACTAATATAACTAAAAAAAATAAAAGAATACAAAGAAAATATAGAAAGTGCAGAAAAGGGGAAAAAATAAAAAAATCAGAATATAATAAAAAAACTACAAAAAATTACTTCTGCTTCATCACAGGTGTAAACAATTTTAGTAACTCATTACCTTCTCTTAAAATACAGCACATGTTCTCTTCTTCCCGTTTCCCATCTCTTGTCGTTTCAGTTCTAGTCAGCAAACATTCACCATGGGATTTCCAGAAACAACAACTTATCTATTTTAATCTTGAACAAATAAACCAACTTGATATCCCTTCTGTCAAGCCCCACGGGGTTTGCCAATCACGGCTGGGGGTGTGTGTGTGTGAAACGCAGCTGCCAGCTACCTCTCCATTGCCGGGTGCAATATCTACATCTTCCCTTTCCTTTTAATAATCTTGATCCATTCAAATAATGTCCTAGAACTTAACTTTTTTTCATATTTTCTTTTTCCCACTCTACAAAATTCTTCAAAGCTTTCTTTGATAAATTGAGTATAAGAAAATTACTCTCTTAGTATATTATCCCTTTTAATTATTAAGACATTAGCCTGTTTCTTTGTATATCCAGAATATCCTTTTCCATATCATTTTTGTAGCTGTCATTTTTAAATCCACTTTCAGCTCAGTCTCACTCTTGTCAAGTAAAACCTGTCCCTCTTTCCTAACATCCTTGAAATAGTCTAACTCAGGGGTCTTCAAACTTGGCCCTTTTATGACTTGTGGACTTCAATTCCCAGAATTCCTCAGCCAGGCATGACTTGAAGTCCACAATTCATAAAAGGTCCAAGTATGAAGACCCCTGGTCTAACTAGAGGCAGACACTTGTAAAGTTGACATTGTTCAAGACAATCTTTCAGTGTATCTATCCCATATTAAAAATTTTGCCTCATTCTATATTAGTAACTCAAATTTAAGTTCCTTTTTAATTATAATCATTAGCTCCTCTTGGTTCCCTTTAATGTTAAACTTTCAGTCTTACTCCATCATGATTTTTTAGGTGAATTCAAAACAAAATAATCTTCCCACAGGAAGGATTCTTGCAATTAATTCCCAAATTTTATTTCAAATCTATTTTGGCCCTTCATTGACTTGCAACTTTCCAAAATCAACATTTTAATCATATTTTGCTGTTTATTCCAAAAGAATTATTTTAAGTCCTTAAATTTGTATTTAATTTTTTCCCCACTAAGGATTGAAGGAAACTCATCCAGTGCTATAAAACTAGCCGATCCAAAGATTCCTAATAGCTGAATGGCAGTCAACAAGCAGTTTCCAAAAATGATTAGATAAATATGCAAACCCACCATCCTTAATAGCTCCTAGCTCATCTCACAGAGCTCTAAATCTACCAGAGATTGCAGTCTTGCAGTCTCCTCCTGAGAAGCAAACTGTTGGGGGCACCTGTGGGCAATTTCAAGTTCTCTCCTTGTCCAGAGAGGAATTACAAAGAGACAATCTACTCACTGGCTCTTCATTCCACTGCCTTTTGCCATTTCTTCCCAGAGGTCGAATTGTACACTTTCCCAAACTAGGAATCCCAATTCTCTCTAAAGCAGGGGTCCCCAACCTTTTTGGTTCCACTAACTGTTGCTAGTGGCTTTGGCGGTTTCAGGAGGGGGGAATGATTTTGCACATGCAACCTAAATCCTGCATGTGTGCAAATGAAGCTTTGTGCACTCACCCTCCACTTTAGAAGCCTGTTTCCCAACGGGCCATAGCCCGGGGTTTGGGGACCTCTGCTCTAAAGGATGGTTTAAGGTTATTAGTCACGTGTGCAGTAATGTCTAGTTTTTGTCCCCTTTTGGATGAGCTGTGGTGGTGCAGTGGCTAGAATGCAGTACTGCAGGCTAATTCTGCTGGCTGCCAGCAGTTCAGCAGTTCGATTCTCACCGGCTCAAGGTTGACTCAGCCTTCCATCCTTCCGAGGTTGGTAAAATGAGGACCCAGATTGTTGGGGGGCAATAGGCTGACTCTAAACTACTTAGAGAGGGCTGTAAAGATTGTGAAGTAGTGCTTAAGTTTAAATGCTATTGCTGTCTTCTGACTATGTACAGAATTGCCAGTATGCATGCAAGCCTAGGCATGGCTAAGCTGTCTTTCTGTTCCACTCCCATCACTGGTGACCCTGACCACTCCTCCTACTTCTGCAGGCAAAAGCTGCCCTGGCTGAAGAGAAAAAATTTCAGCAACATATCTTGGGTCAACAGAAGAAGGAGTTGGGCAACTTACTTGAATCACAGAAGCGCCAATATAAATTACGGAAGGAGCAGCTGAAAGAGGTACCCTGATTTGAAGGGTGGCGAAACTTAGCAGCAGGAAGCCAAAAGTTCATTATCCCATAATAGTTGGCAGCTGACTTTCCAAAGTTCCATTTGCCACCTTACCTCTGCCTGTGACTATGAAGCCTTTCTTATTTTGATTTGTTTTATTTCATATATAATGCTGCAAATTCCTTCTGTAGGGGAAGATAAAATATTCAACTGGTCTTTAGGAATATGTGGAAAATAACATGTCCTAAAAGGCCAGAAATAACCAAGTGAGATTTATGCTGTCTGTATCTTTGAAGAAAAAGATAGAAATATCATAGAGTTGTTTCCCTGAGAGTCACACAATAAGAATTTTTATAGGCAGAGCAAACATATAATGTGGCGAACATGGAGAGACATTTCCAAAAGTAGGGGTTTTATGTCCTCCATGTTTGTTGTTGCTCTGGGACAAAAACAAAATGGCATATTAAAAAGGAAACGAACACTTGCCCACAGGTATATTTTACAAGCATTCTTTTGGAATTCTGCACCTGTTACCTCCAGCCAGAAACTGTTTGTCAAGATAGCTTTCCCCAATATACATCTTGGTATGTGAACTAGAGATAATGAGACCTGTATTCCAAAATCCCTGGGCTGACCAAATTGAGAGGAATCTACCTTCAGTTTTTTCCAGTTTTGTACACAAATGTAGGAGGGGAGATTATTGTACTTCCTCACATGTAAATTTGCACATCACGTTAACCATAATGCAATGGTGTACTGCATTGTGTGTTAGCATGTCGGATGAACTCGGTTAGCGCAGTTTGTGAACATGCTGCCCTTCAACAACCAAAGCTTAGGTCAATGTGCCAACAAAGGAGTGTTTACTTTTTCCCACAATTCCTTTTGCAGGAGCTGCAGGAGAATCAGAGCACACCCAAGCGGGAAAAGCAGGAATGGTTGCTGAGACAAAAAGAGAATATGCAACACTATCAGGCTGAAGAAGAGGCCAACCTTTTGCGGCGCCAGCGGCAATACTTTGAGCTACAATGCCGCCAGTACAAACGCAAGATGCTACTGGCACGCCATAACTTGGACCAAGATTTGCTGCGGGAGGTGGGGACCAGTAATTGGTGCCTGGTGGGAGCAGGAAGGGGATGTTGGTCTATGTTTGAAAAGCAAAACTGCGGGAGATGTACTCTGGGGGGTGGATGTGTTGGGCAGGCTAAATTGTGTGCCCATTTTTCCACCCGTATCTCTTTGGAAAGAGTTGGCATAATGAACGGTTACTTGAATGTCTGCCTTTGCAAGCTCTTTATTTATTAATTAAATGTCCACTAATTAAATGAAGTTAGGCCACCCAATTCCATAGCAACTCTTCACAGGGTATAATATTAAACCATTTAAAATATTACAATACAAAACCATATAGAAACCGTTCAGAGAAAAATAGCACAGCCTAATTAAGAGGAGTCTGCCATCAACTTTAGTCCAAGGCCTGGAGAACAGCCAGGTTTTGTTTAAATTGTGCCAGATTGGAGGCTATATGAATCTTGGGAGATTATTTTAGAAAACAAAGCCCCGATTCTTTTGGTCCCATTGAATAACATTGTCTGAATAAATGGGAACCAGAACATGTTAACTGTGGCTAGTCATGGGATGAGCAGATAATCTGCTATGTCACGAAGGACATTTGTAGGTAACTAGACAACTGGTGACCCATCAGGTCATCCTTTCAGAGATGTTTCCTTACCAGATTCCTGAATAGCAGAAGGTCTAATATAGTGTCTTCACTGGAAAAATTGCCCATGCTGAACTATATAGCACAATCAGACATCAGCACAGGAAATATTTTATGACATTATGTATTATGTCATAAACTGTTTTATGATAATTTTGATGTCATAAATTTTTTTTTAAAATTTGCCAAATTTCAATTCCATGGGAGTTACGGGTCTCAAATTTTGGACACTTTATGCAAAATAATCCATATGGGGAGCCTTGGTTCAAAAATAGTTGCCTAAAGCATCATTTCACCCAGTTAAAGGTTATGGAAATGAGAGTTTTAGAAAGAGAGAGGAAGATAAGCAGCACCTTAAATTGCACCTGGAAGTCTATTGGTAAATGCCACCAGTTTTTTGAGCAGTTGTGAGTCCACGAAGATCTTCAAATAGTGCTAGAGACCCGAAGGGGGAAGTATTAGCCCTTTCAAGATGGAATATCTCTAGACCTGGGTAGTCCACATACTCAAAACCACTTGGTCTTCTCAGGGTTGGGTGTTTCTACCCATCTACATCTACACAGCCTCAAGGACTGGAACAAGACTTTGAGATAATCACCTGGTCAGCTCAGAGTCAAGATGTAACAATTGGAGACCATAATTAGTCATGATACCTGACCCCAAATCAGTGCAGTCCTGTGTAGCTACTACATTGGAGTAAGTGTGAGGCATATTGTGTAAGATGCATTGAGATCTAATCCACCCTGTGTGTCGAAAGTCTTGGGCTTGAGCTCCTTGCCATCACCAACTAAACCCAGCTACAGAGAAAGGAGGAGAACCATTCCCAATCCCTAGATGGTCCAGAAGGATATCATGGCTGATAGGATCGAAAGCTGCTGGGAAACCAAAAAGAATGATTGGTCTCCCCAATTCTCTTTCCTCTAGCGGTCAACAGGTGTAGCCAAAGCTCTCTCGGGTCTAAAAGTATGTCCTACTCTGAAGCCTGTTTGGAAGGTAGCTAGATAACTTTTTCCCCAAAGCCCTATGAAAATGTAGCTCAACCACCTTCTCGAAAAGAGGAGGTTGGGGGGGGGAACACTTTCTACCCCACACTTTTTCCTCTTCCCCTCCCCTAGTTTCCCACTGTTTTCATTTTCTTCTCTATTTTATATTTTATATTCTGAGAAACTAATAAATTTTGACACAGAAAAAGAAGAGGTTAGAGATGGGGGACACACAGCTATGTATCCCCAATCATCCACATCCATCCATTAACATTACTGCTTTTATGTAAGGGTGAACCCAGTGAGTGGCTAGGAATGAAGCAATTCTATTTGAGAGAATTACTAAGAAATGAATTAATTCCACTTCAACCGCATGTCCAGCTCTCAAAATACTTAAAATCCAGTTCTCATGCTTGCATCCTTCCAAGTTCAGGTGATGACTATTTTCTGACATCTTTCACAAACCATAAGGATTAGAAACTACCGCAAGGCTGAGTTTTACAGGGTACAGCTTCTAGTTTTAATCTCTCACTGTTCACTAATACAAGTAGGATACTGTCCAAAGGCAATGAAAAAAGTTGCTGTCGTCGGGCCATTAGAGAAGAGGGAAATTATTGGAAGTCTTTGGACAAAAGAGAAAAATGCTGAGTATTTCATAGATATTGGAACTGTAGATATTCTTTATGGAACATGACATTCTGACTGCTCTCTTTCCCCATCCCCCACCTCCAGGAACTGAACAAGAAACAAACACAGAAGGACCTGGAGTGTGCCATGTTGCTGCGCCAGCATGAGTCCACCCAGGAGTTGGAATTTCGTCACCTTCATACTGTCCAGCGTACCCGCACAGAGCTTACCCGTCTGCAACACCAAACTGAGCTGTCAAACCAGCTGGAATACAATAAACGTCGTGAACAGGAACTGCGCCAGAAGCATGCCATGGAGGTCCGGCAACAGCCTAAAAGCCTCAAAGTAGGTGCTACCTACACTCCGCCTTGCTGCCAGTTGTGCCCAGAAGGGCAGGTTGTGGGAATTCTGGAGTCAGGGCAGGGGCACTTGGGGGTGACAGAAATGGACAGATATGAGGCTGAAAGTCTAGACTTTGGACAGGACCTTTTGGGTGGGTGTGATCCTTGTGACAGTGTGGCGGGGGATCATGAGCATCTGGCAGATTTGAAATACATGCCCATTGAGTATCTAGATCCCAAAGGATGTCAGTTGGACGTCCTGGAATCAGATTGTGTTTGTGATGATCCAGGTGATGGCACACATGTTGGAGAGGTTTTGGACTCAACTCAGGGCGAAGCTGAGGGAGTAAATGTGGGAAGAAAATATCCAGACCTTTTAGGGAAGTATACACATGCAAAGAACATTTTTAAGCCTGAGCTAGACAGTCACGAACAGGTGGTCCAGGAAAGCAATCAAGAGGAGGAAACTTCAGAGCTGGAAGCAGTGCATGTTGGGTCTCATGTCCAAGAGTGGTCACAGAAGGGTGTTCTAGGCTTGAGGGATCAAGGCGTAGAGCCTTTGATGTCAGAAATGAGAGATTGCGGAGAGGCGAAGCCAGATTGGCCCTACATGGCAGATATAATTCCAGATGAGCAGGAAGCAGCAATTTTGGAGGAAAGACAGGAGTGTCTGGGGCTTGATGGGGAGGATCACGATGTCTTAGGTTCAAGCAGCAAAGAGTGGAATTTAGACTATTCTATGGCAAGCCTAAAACAGCAAGAAGTATATAGCAAGGGAGTTACCGATGTAGGTCTCCACCAGACATTTCTTGGAGAGCTAGATGGCTGCAGAGACGCTTCTGAGGCTCTGCTGCCAATCTGGGGGCGACCAGGTGCTCCCAAGCCTGATGGCCAAGAAGCCGATGATGAGCTAGAACCATTTCTGTGCACAGAGGATTTGTACACTCCGTCTCTCCCCACTATCCTTGAGGAGGGGTCCTTGAGAGGATCAGGTGATGGCTGCCCAGCCAGTGACGATCCTTACAGTCAACAGGGGGCTGGCAAGTCCCATCCAGGGGCCTCTCCTGTGGCAACCTTTCTGCCCCATGTTCTCTGTGTGGCTTTGGCCTTGTTGGTCTCTGCATATCCTTGTGCCCCCACTCTCTTGCTTTTGCTCGCTGCTCTCTGGGCCCAGGGGGGGAGTTTTCAAGATATCCTCCTGGCCCTTGAAGGATTCTTAGTGGGCCTGGGGGTTACATACACCCTGTTGCATTCTGTTTTTCTTCTCTCAGGGTCCTCCTTTCTTCTTCTTATCAAGTTGGGGGGTACGGTGGGCGTGGTAGGGTTGAGTGCCAACAGGGGGCGCCTATATGTTCCGGTCATTCTTTTGGCCTCCTACCTCTTAGCTTCTCCCTGGGTTTTCCTGCCCCTTTATCTCCTTGGGGCCCTGGCCAGGCGCACCCTAAAGGGATTCCCCCGCCACGCCCGTCGGTTTTTGCTCTTGGCTCTCCTGCATTTCCCACGCCCAGTTTTCCGCATCCTGCAGCGCCTAGGGCTGGTTAGCGAACAGGGGCTCTTCCGCCTCTTTCCCAAAACAAACAAAGGCAACTTCCGGAGTCGTATCCCAGTGCTATCCCGCCAGCGGCAGCCATCCCTCCCTTGGCACCACTGGATTCTCTCTCTCCTTGCCAAACCAATCCGTACCCTCAACAGGATTCTCACCAAGGTAATCTGCGCTCAGCTGCCCCCTTCCATGCTTCACTGCCTCAAGGGCTTATATGTCTTGAGGGAGGAAAGGCCCAGCCGTATCCCCTGCTTGGTGGCCCGTGCGGCCAGGCCCGGAGTCCATTCCAGCGGGCCAGTGAGACGGTTGACTAGAAGTAGTGGTCGTGTGCGCGAGTCCCACCCTGTCAGGAAGCCCTGGAGATAACCGCCCTCAGTATCTTGGGTTTCTATACCTTGCCTAACATTGTGAAACAAGCCATTCCAGTTGAATTGCTGCATCCTGTCTCTTCCATGCAATATTCGTGCCGTGGGCCAGCTTCTGGAACTCTGGGCAATCAGACAGAAGCACTTTTTCAGTATTTACTCTCAAAGCCATTTTTTTTTCCTCCCTCCAAGGTTTGTTGATGTTTCGCTGTCTTGTTACCAAGAGGCTCTGGGCAGGATGTGTTTGGTAAAAGAAACTTTAATATGGGCAGAGAGGAAAACCAAACCTTGTGCAAGCTCTGATTGTTTACATATAGGGGATGGATGGGGGGGGGGTTGTCTTGTGTTCATTGTGTCAACGAGGAAAGAATCACCTGATCCCTTTTGAGTCAGCTATTTGGGAGGGCCAAATATTTCCTATTTCCATCATCTGGCATAAGACGTTGAGCTCCAGGTTTGCCAATCCTTACAAATTCTTTCTCGTAACCCCTATTTAAAAGATCCAGTAATAGCTGTTTTTTCCATCTTCAGCATCTCTTGCACAATGCGGAAATACATACGTGCCTTCATTTCAAGCCATTTTTACCTTCTGAAAAGCTTTGAATTCCAATTCCTGCTAAAATACATTAATTCTTCATCTCCCACAGAGAAAAAGAAACCCCCTTTACAATGAAATGAAAAGTTGAGAAATTAAACATGTTTTGAAAACCCAAATTTTTCAGCTCTTGAGTGTTTGCCTAGTTTTAAGTGATTCTTTCGCCGTTCATATATATTTCCACCATTGGTATGTGTCTGTGTGCATGTTTATACACACACACACACACACACACACACACACACACACATATATATATTTATCATTTTTCACCATATATGTAACAATCCCCCTTTTTAAAAGTTTGAACTTGAATGTACATATTTGTATTTGTGGGTAGGTTGGTAAGTTTTATATATATTTTTATGGAGGGAGGAAAGGGGCGCTAATACAATTTTTAAACAATACAATTTGACTGAAAATGGGAGAAATTCATAAAATGACAGCTTATTGCTATAGATTTTTTCACTTGAAACAATAATGGGCCATCCAGTAGCTTTTTTTCCCCTTTTTTCTTTTTTTAAATGAGAAACCACATGCTGGCATTTGAAGTGAATGGCTTGGCATTGAGGTGGTTTGCTTTAGCGTAGGCAGTTGCATTTTGGTCAAAGAGAAGAAAAATTACTAAATATGAAATTTTAAGTTTCTGTACGAATGTCTTCTGCAGCCAGGACATAGGCAACCTCTTTAAATTACATAAAAAACAAAGTTGTTTTGTCTTTTAATGCTTCCCCCAGCGTGGTTTGAGGCCTTATAAATAAGAGAGCAGCCTTTTCATTTTTTTTTTATTTATTTTTTTACAAAACTGGAAACCTAGACCATCTCTAAAGTGCAGGGACAGATCTCAGAACTGTGATGCTCCATTTTTCTTATCTTTGCCAGGGGCCAGATATGCCTTATCTTCCAAGGAATGGTGTGCCCCATTTGGAGGAACTGCCTCATAACATCACAAACCCCTTTCCTTTACTTTTTATACTTCTTTTAAACTTCGCTACCATATCATTTTCAAGAAACATTTCCTTAAGCTTTAAGGTGAAAGTGTTAACACACACATACCTCATTGGCTAGTATGACATGCTTGTCCCCCCCAATCACCTGCGGCTTGCTCCTTAGTGACCATGTCACAGTGGGAGGAGAGGCTTATTTTTTACATCCAATTAACAGCCAGACTAGAGAATTCTGGAAAAACCAAATACTTGTGCTGCTTTCCTGTATGGATCCACCTTTTTCCCTTTTTAAAAACTTTGAGCAGGTAAGCACTATCACAACCTGTCCCTCTCTTCTGATAAATACCCTCTAGATATTTATCTTATAAATGCAGTATCTTGATCCATTTTAATTGTGAAATCCCCTGCATTGGGATGACTTGTCAAAGAAACGGGAAGCTGCTGTATAAAATTCCAGTTTAGTTTGCATTTGTTGTTTTGTTGGTTAACTAGCTTTCAGAAGTTTTATTTATTTGGTAGGGAATAAAACAAAAGCTCAGTTAATTCTATATAAACATATAATCACAGAATCAATATTTTTTTAACTCACTCAGGATGTTTATGCGACTGACCACAAAGAGATTTTGGGAATAAATCCCATTTGTTTCAATAGCAGTTAATTAAGAAAATTGGCTTTGCCGTGGCTAAGATTTTTGTCTTTTTGAGTTCTTCATCAACTGCAGGTAACACCAAGTTTTCTAGAGTTAAATCAGTTTGAAACAGTCTTCATTTCTATTTATTTTGGTAGCGTAATTTTAGAACGGTTACTTCTAAGCATTTCTATGTATTTTTTCAGTTTCTTATATCCATTCAGGTTCTAGCTAGTCCAGTTCCCTTCTCCCAATTTGCAATCTCGCCCATTTCAGATTATCCTAAGTTAGATATAATTCCATGTTCACTGATTCTGGCTTTTGGTCCCATGTTTGCATAAAGCACATACCTTGCATTTCTCCCTTTTTTGGTTCATCTGTGATTTTTTTAATTTATTCCAATTTTGCATCATCCATGGATTTGTGTATTTTTTTAGCATTCCTCTTAACCTTTATTTTTTTTGGCCAAACTTGTTTTCATTAATCTAGATTCTATTTTGTCCATTTTAATAATGTATTTTGTATTCCCATTTTTTCTGTGTTTGAACTATGTTTTTTTTTCTCTATCTTCACCATTTTAAAAAACTATGTTAAATATTTTTAATTTATTTCTCCCATTTTGTGTGGGGGGACATTCTTCTGTGGTTTATTTATTTCTCCCTTCCCTGTTGTGGATGCATGTGAAATTTTGAAGGAAAAAGAAATAAAAATTCTGCACCACAAGTCACCACCTCTGTATTGTGAGTTTTGAGTTTGATGTGATTTGATTTTTAAGAAAATAGGGCACTTAAAAACTGGGCTATATGTCTATTTTCATGTACTCTGTGCCACAAAACATCCTCAAGTGATGTACTTTTAGATTTCCAAAAGTAAAACTATTTGGAGGGTGTAAGTGGAGGTCTGTTCTTCCACATTCCGCTGTTGCCTTAATTCAGGGGTCTTCAAACTTGGCCCTTTTATGACTTATGGACTTCCAACTCCCAGAATTTCTCAGCCAGGCATGCTAGCTAAGGAATTCTGGGAGTTGAAGTCCACAAGCCATAAAAGGGCCAAGTTTGAAGACCCCTGCCTTAATTCCTAATACCTCATTCTCTCTCTATGACCTCTCAAGCATATGAGGTGTTCATGAAATGAATTAAAATAACATACATAGGTGAAAAATGTGTAATCTAGACAATTTTTCCCCCACATCATTTGTGGTTTGGGGTCATTTTAGATGTTGTCCAAAGAGTGATGAAAGATTGTAGCCATGAAAGGATTGCTCTTGAGGCAAGAAGCCTCAAGCAGTTAGGCGTAGCATAAATTACAGGTGATTGAGTGGGTTTTGATATGAGGGATGTCATCAGAAATGCAAGGAAATAAACATTTTGTTCATCAATATGAGCTTTGGGGTGTATTAGACTCTGTTTAAATAAAAAGAGAATAGCATTTCCTTGGCAACTCAGAAGTTCACTTCTGCGTATCCAAAATTCACACCACAATTGGAAACATAGCTTGTATTAAAAAAAAATGTACTTTGGACTAGCCTCATCTCCTGCATCACATTTTGTGATAGTCAAGTGGACTCCTCCCTGATACATCAACTTTTGCGCAAAGCCTTCCCTACTTCTGTGCTTTCCATATGGTCAATTTAGCATGGATAATGGGGGCTGTAGTCCACACATAACTGGAATGCATCAAATTGGAAAAACTGGTGTAAGCAATCTTCGTGAATTATTTTAAACTCTAGTAGGTGGTTCAAATTCTGTATTGAATTGTTTGGTGTGATTGTTTTTTTAGCCTGGCTGACAAACCAATAAATCGCTAAAAGGCCTAGCCAAAGAAGCAAACTTTTCCAAAATTCAAAAATCATTAATGACATTTGTAACTGCAGGTCCATTTTTGTTGAATGTATGAAGTTTGGGTCCATCATAACATTTTGTATGAGAGACTCTTGTCTCTCAAAATCAGCCTATAGCTGAGTTTGTTCTGTCGATGACTAAAAAATAATCTTTTTTACTTTGCTATGTGATGTCAATTTCCATTTGAAATCTTAATGCTGAAACTGCTCTCTCATCCTTCCTCCTACTTCTGCAACATGTATTTTGAAAGGGACCTTAGATTAGAAGACCTAAAAGGACCCAACGGAGCTAAGTCTTCAAAAAGTATCCTGTAGAAAGTTCCCAACCCTCAACATGAGAATGGAGAATATTTTCTGTTGCATAGCAGGATAGAGGATGAAGAGCCATCAGCTCTTTGGGGAATGGGTGTTGAGAATATCACCTACAATCTATATTTAGACCATGGTGTAGAGCTGCAATGATGTCATTTTTTATACAATTATGGTAATTTGCACTGAAATTTTTTTCCCCTGAAACTTTTCCACTTTAGCATTTTTAGAAAAACCAACATGCAGTTGTTTCAAAGATGTTTTTTCTTGAGGAAGAAGGACAAAATGTTTCGTTTCTCACTCAAGAAACTTCATTAATTGTGATGGGGGGAGAATGGAAGGATAGATATTCACAGTTGACACTGAATATTGGGGATAGGTTCTGACTGGATGGGTGGGAGGGAGGGGGAATGGAAGGATTGTATTTCTGTGCAGTCATCTGGTTGTTAGCACACTCTCTGAGAGCTGTTGAGGCTGCTTGAGAGTTTATCTTTGCCCTCAGGCTTACTGGAATCAGAGTGCAATTGGTTGTGGAGTCTTCTTGGAACTGCTGCAAGGGCTGCGTTTTAGACTAGAGGTAGGTGATCCACAACCAATTGCACTCTGTTTCAAGTGACTCTGAGGGCAAAGATAAGCCCCCAAATGGCCTGAAGAGCTCTCATGCAGAGTGTTAATGACCAGATGACTTCAAAGAAATGCAATCCTTCTACCCCCACCATCTGATCAGGACCTATCCTTCCATACTTCTCCCGCCATCAGAAATGATGAAGTTTCAAATGTTTTGTACTTCTTCCTCAAGGAAAAAACAGTCCAGTGGCCTTTTGAAAAAGCACCTTTGAGCCAACTGACTGTTGGTTGACTGAGAATCTCCACAGACATGCAACACGCAGTTGTTTTGCACACACCAAGATGTGCGTATATAGTTCAGAATTTGGCATATCATTCATTTGTGCTTTTTTATATTCAGGAATGATCATTGATAACTCGGAAAGAAACAAACAAGCAAATATTTACTGAATGTTTGTCCAAAGTTTAAACTTCTTGAGCAAGCAGGCCCCTGGTAAATTTCTCTCCTGGAGCTTTTTTGGCTGTGAGCCAAACACAGATAAATAGGAAATAGAATCAAGGGCACTGGGGAGAACTAGCTAGAACTATCCTTTAGCTGCTTCTCAGTTCATAATACAGGTAGTCCTTGACTTACGACCACATTTGGGACCAGAATTTTCATTGCTAAGCAAGGCAGTTGTTAACTATGCTGTATCCAATTTTACAACCTTTTTTGCCACGGATGTAAAGCGAATCACTGCAGTTGTTTAAGTGAATTGTGCAGCCATTAAGTGAATCCGGCTTCCCCTATTGACTTTGCCTGTCGGAAGCCAGCAAGGAAAGTCACGATAGCAATCACATCACCTCAGGACGTTGTCACCATTGTAATAAATGTTGGTTGCGAAGCGCTTGAATTTTGATCATGGGAATACAGTGACAGTCGTAAATGTGAGGATTGGTTGTAAATCACTTTTTTCAGAGCCGTTGTAACTTCAGATGGTCGCTAAATAGATGGTTGTAAATCGAGGACTACCTGCACCTTCTGTAGAGAATTTCTAGCGGGTCTCCCCTCCTGTTCCCATTGTCCTAGTGCAGGGATAGGCAACCTTGGCTCTTGTATGACTTGTGGACTTCAACTCCCAGAATTCCTGAGCCAGCATGGCTCAGCTTGGAAACCTCTCCCTTTCTCTTCAGCATGGCTGGCTCAGGAATTCTGGGAGATGAAGTCCACGAGTCATAAAAGAGCCAAGGTTGCCATCCTTGCATAATGGCACATATAAAGCTTCTTCATCAACTCGTTCCATTGTTTTTTTCCATGCAGCCTTATGCCATTTAACCCTTATGGGGTCTTAGGCAGAAAGAAAGCCCTCCTGGTCCTGTTACTTGAAGCTACCTCATGGGCAATGTCAGCCAATGCATACTGCATTGTTCTTTCATGAGGCAAATCCCATTTGGGGTATTTCTAGTTTGAATTGGGTATGTCTAGTCTAGTGAAAAGAAGGACTGGAGGGTGACATGATAGTAGGGGCTGCCATAAAGGAGAGGGGGTCAACCTATTCTCCAAAGCACCTGAAGGCAGGATGAGAAGCAATGGATGGAAACTAATCAAGGAGAGAACTAAGAACCTAGAACTAAGGAGAAAATTCCTGACAATAAGAACAATCAGTGGATTGCCTCCAGGAGTTGTAAATGCTCCCACACTGGGAATTTTTAAGAAGAGATTGGACAATCATTTGTTTGAAATGGTATACTATAGGTTTCCTACGGGGGGGGGGTGTTGGACTAGAAGACCTCCACGGTCCCTTCTAACTCTGTTATTTTTCATCAAGCTACAATACAGGAGGCATCTTTTCACTCCATTAAAGCTATTTGGTTGGGCTGAAACTATCTCATTGATGTTACTTTGATTGACGTGGGAACATGAAAATGGTAAAACTACTAGGTAAAACTAGATTTCGTTTATTCCCACCAAAACCCCACTGGTGGGAGTTGTTTGTCTAATACATGCTCCTGTCTCTCTCTCTCTCTTTCTCTCTCTCTTTCCTTTCTTCCTTTTGCATTTGTTCTTTATTTGCAATTCTCATTCTCTCTCCTCTGGTCACTGGCATTGTTGTTTTTGTTTTCTTGTTTCCCCCCTTTTTCTCCTCTTCCTCCTTTTGCTACCCTAGTCCAAAGAACTGCAAATTAAAAAGCAGTTTCAGGACACCTGTAAAATCCAGACGCGGCAATACAAGGCCCTTCGCAACCATCTCTTGGAGACCACCCCAAAGAGCGAGCACAAGGGGATCCTCAAGCGTCTGAAGGATGAGCAGACCCGCAAGCTGGCCATCTTAGCCGAGCAGTACGACCACAGCATCAATGAAATGCTCTCCACCCAGGCCGTAGGTACCCTGCGCTGCCCTCCCCCTGGGTGGGAGAGAGGGAGGAATCGGCCCTTCCTCTGTCCACGGAGAAGAGCATTTTCCAACCATGCTTTGAATCCTAGACCCCAACCAATTCCTTTTTCAGTTTTTCTTTCCATCCTCATCCCCCTTCCCCCAGCTTTGGCCAGCAAAAGTTTGAGATAAAATGACCAATCCCATTGGATATGGGTTGACCACTTGAGGTAGGATTTATCTACCTTGAATAAAGCCCAAGACATTGATTTATCCTTAAAACATTGTTTTGATTTTATTCCAGTTTAATTGTCTTGTTTTTTCCCAAAAGAAACAATGGAAGAGAAGATGCTGAGAATAACCCACATTTTAGAGAGCCGTAATTGCTTGCTCTCAAAACTGTAGTCCCCCAAGGCTTCCTTGCAAAGAGGCTGGCTGCCAAACCACAATGTCCATTGTGCAATGGGGCCCTTGTTCACAGGGCTCCGAAGCATGCCTTTCTCTGTAGCATCTTCACTCCCAAAGAAACCCCTTCTGAGGTGTGTGCCTGGTTTTAAAGTTCTGGGGCTAATAGAGTTCCCTTTGCCATAAATGCGTAACGAATACCAGCTTTGATCTCCTGACTCCATAAGCAACGTGAACATGACAGCAGTTGCT